TTTTGCAGGCGCAAGATTTTTTGTGATGATGATTTCCCCAGTTGGTGCTTTTGATTCTGCCTGAAACATCTTGATTGAAGGCAAACAATGGCAGCTCCGGCAGCCGGCAGCGCCCCGCACCCACGCGCCGCCCCGGCCCCGCCAGCCGCCACGCGCCGGGGGGGCCCCACGGCTCCGGCCCAAGCGCCCGCTGCCTGGGCCAGCACATCCAGCTCCTCTGGTGTCACTTCCCTGTGCCCGCGGGACATGGCTCTGCCACCCGACCCACCATCCAGGTCATCCAACCTCGACCTTGAACCCTGTGCTGGTGTCCCCATCCTCTGCCCGGCTGTCCCCTTCTCAGCCCTGAGCCTCTTCCCACCAGCTGGAAACTGCTCCACCACCCCAAAATCTTGCAAATCATGGTGGTGATGCCCCTTGGGGTCCCAGCCGTAAGACCGGAGGGGGAGATGGTGCCAGAGCTGGCAGGAATGTCAAAACCCCAGTGGCTGCAGTGCAGCATCCCATGGGTGATGGGCACCTTTGAAGTGCAGTCTCCAGTGACCCCCAGCCTCTGCTCACTGCTTAACACAAACTTTCAGGGCCGCGAGGGAGCCTCCCATGTCCCTACAGCCCTCCCTGTCCCCACAGGGTGCCCCAAAGAAGGGCCTCAAAGCCACCACATCCTGGCAAGGAAAAGCGGCCATCCGGGTGCACACAAAGCCATTTCTTGTTTGGCATTTTTGTTTGAAGTGTGTCCTTCATCTGGGTTTCTACAGCAACTGGGAAGTTCCTATCCTGGCCCAGCTGGAGGGAGTGAAGCAGCCAGGGGAACAGAGTAGGAGGGCAGGAGGCGAGGATTGAGGGCAGGAAGGGAAGAAGCAAAACATCAAGTTTTTGAGAAGTGGGGCTGTATTTTCCACCTCCATCTTGGGCCCAGGGCTGCTGCAGCTGGGACAGGATTCCAACTCTATCCCTGCCCCTCTGTCTCCAGAGGCAGTGCAGCCAGCTGGGGCCAAATCAGGGGGTGTAAAACAAGCAGCTTTTAGGATCCCTTCAGGTAAAGAGCAGTCTGCTGTATCCCACCTTGGTTGGCCCTGGCATGGCTGCATCCTCTGATTCTTTGTGCCAGCCTGGGTAAAAATGAAACACACTTTTCTTCGAAGAAAGCAACAAAACCCAAGGAAACTCCAGTGGTTCATCTTAGGCAGTGAGTCTTTTCATTTATTCATTATGAGATAATACCCAAACCTGGCTAATTAATATTTCTGCATATTTTCCAAGGGGTGATGAGGTATCTTAAACAACTCGTGGAGATGGGCTTTCATATTTATAAGGTTGATGTGCAAACTTAAATTGACAATGTCTAAATATACCCTCATGTTTAAGCATGGAGCTTTCTCTCCCAAGGCAGCGAGGGCTTTCCTGGAGTGCACACCCTGGCTGGAAGCAGGACCTGGGGCTCAGTGGGTGGGAGAGCTGCCCAAAAAGGCTCCTGCGAGGCAGGGTGTGATGTTGTGTGATCCATCTTTCCACAAAGATGTGGGATTTGTGTTTGCTTTGGTAACGGGAACAGAGCACAACAGGCACTGACCCAGTGGGGTCAGCGGTGCTTTGGGGTGAAGGATCAGCATGAGCACCCACACAGCCGGACGTGCTGACGGGTACCAGGGCAGGGCCTGCAGCTTCCTGCTGAAACCCTTCTCCAAGGTTAAAAATAGGACTGGGTTGAAAACTGAAAGCCTGGTTTGCATTCACCCTCATTATGTTGATTGCTTATTTACATGTATGCAAATGGAGGAAGAGGCAGTGGCTCCTCCACCTGGGGACCCCTTGGCACAGGAGAGCCTAAACCCCACCAGGTAAATCCCTGCTGAGGGCTGGGCCATGGGGCTGTGGCCCCTTCCCAGGATCACCCTGAAAGCGAAGCATCAGCCCCTCTTGCCGTGCCGATCCGAGGGCTGAGCCGCAGCCTCGTGCCGAGTCCAGTGGCCGGTGGCACCGTGGTTACAGCAGCCATTGCCTCTCCCCCCACCCTGCTCCACCAGATGTGCGTGTCCAGCTCCAGCTGTTCCCCATCAGCCTCCCCCGTGCAGCACCGCCAGCTCCGGGATCCTTTTTCCACCAGGCCCCATGTCCTTCATCAGACACCAATTTGGTCTTGCCCAGCTGCTCATTTTTCTTTCCGCCGTGTGACATGTTTTCACCTGGCTCCTAATCCGTCTCTTTCCATTCACAACTCGAGCTGTTTATGGATGTGCCTCTGCTCCCCCTGCTCTCCCCACCCCCCAGACAGAGCCATCCATCAATAAAACCCCGCTGTGCCCCCGAGCCTCAGCACTTCCCCTCCCAGGACAGCAATATCCCAACAGCCACAGGCACACATTCCTCCTGCTGCTCCACGGGGTGATCCCATGGGGCCATTGCTTTCCTCCTTGCCCCCAGCAGCACAGGGGGCTTGATGGCACTGATGGTCCTGGAAGCTGAGGCACCCAGGACACCAGGGGACTCTTCCTGGATGGGGGGGCAAGAGAGGGGCTGTGGCCCCTCTGCTCGGCATGGGCACCCACTCTTTTGGGGCTGATCCCTTCAGCGAAGGTGTGGGGTGAGAGTGGCCCATGGCAGGGAGAGTCCTAACTCTTGGGGGTCACCCGGCGCGGGGGGGCTGTGTCTGTGTCCCCCCATAGTAGGTGACAGGTGCTTTAATGCCTGTGGTGACAGCTGCTGCTGCAGGAGGAGGCAGCTGTGCCAAGGAGGAAGAGTTTGATGATGAGGAGGAGGACAGCTGGGCAGTCAAACCTAGAGGCACCAAGCATAGGGGCCATGGCTGGGGAGTGCCCTGGGATGGGGGGTGGCCCAGGCTGTGCATCAGGGACCCTCCTCCCCAGGGAGGGACATCACTCATCTCACCTGTATTCTCATCAGCCCGGGGCTCTTCTTTCCCCCCCAGCAGCTGGCCCTGTGAATATGGAGGGGAGACATCACGGGATCCCTGTGGAGGTTGAGAGCATCCTGCTCCCTCCTGCTACCCTGGAGTGCTTTGCTTTTGACTGATTTTGACTGAGAAGCAAACCCCCGAATATCCCAATGGACGGGGGGTTTCCTGAAGAGCCTGAGCAGGACAGGGTTGAGAAGAACCCAGCAGGACTGCAGGGCTGAGCTGCCAGGCTCTGCTGCCTGTGTGTACAAGAACACACAGGGGCAGGAGGTACTGGCTCCCCAACCCAATACTGCCTGGGAACTTGTCCAGGGTTGGGCTGCCACCTCTGTTGGAATGGAATGGGAGGAGTTAGTGAGAGGGTCCTCCTCCCTTGAACCCACTGTTCCCGGTTTCAGCTCACTGAGACTTTCTCCCCTTCCCAGTTCCCACTAAAGTAGCACAAGGGGAATTCAAACTGGAACTAAACCAGGGGTGTTTTGCAACCAAGGAAAAAATAAAGCAAGCTGAATCTGAAGAGAGCAGTGGAAAACCCCTCCTGCCTCTAGGACACTGCTCTGTTTTATGATGTCAGCCTCATTTTCCCCAGATGAAGATCACCCCTGGACAGCCCCAGCCAGGCCAGCCCAGGGCCCCACTGCACATCCTGGACAAAGGCTCCTCCTCGCCCTTCCCAGCCTTGACTGAGTACAGAGGGTCCCCAAACCAGCCTGGGGTGCTGCCAGCACCCACAAAGCCCCTGGAGGCAGTGGGGCTTTAGGTGGAGATGAAGCCTTAAGGGCTGGGTGCCCGGGCAGCAGCATGGCTGGAGCGGTGGATGCTGGCAGAGTCAGGAAAGCTGCTGTCCCCAGCCCAGTCCCCATCCCACAATGGGGATTGTTCTGGAGCCCATGGGCAGGATGCGGCCTGGCCGGCTCCGTGCCTGACTCACATCCTCGCTGCCTGGGAGGGAGCTGGTGGAGAGCCACATCTCCAGCACACCTTCCCACGGGGCTGGGACACGGCCTGGGCACTGGAGGGGACCCTGTCCGCATCTGGGACCCACTGCTGCCCCATGGCCGAGCTGCTCCCTCCCAAGAGCCCCTCCGGAATCCCCCACCATGGTCCGGGCCCTGCGGGACTGGGCAGCGTTTCCTGCCCAAAGCAGGTTGGAGCCTCCCGCCGGAGCTGGCGTTCCCAGGGGAAGAGCTGCAGCAGAGCGAGGCATTTGCACTAAGTGATCACATTTATTTGAATATTTTGCGTGTGTGTGTGTGTGTGTGTGTGTGTGTGTGTCTAAAATTGGTTACAGAATAAATACCTGTGCCTTATAGCAGGAAGTCCACTTTTTTTTATACAAAGTGCTTGTTACAGGAAGTTGCATCAGCGATATGCAGGAGGGGAGTGCGTTTTGGTCACGCTTCCCCTCCTGAAAACTAGAACAGATTTTTTTTTATTTATTTATTTGTGGTTTTTTGTAAAGTTTCTTTTCCCTTTTTTTTTGTGCATTAAATTTCCTGCCATTGTGTATTTACAAATCTCTGAAAGAAGGAAAAAAATGCCAATATGCATGAGAAGTGGCCTTGTAACACAAAAAAAAAAAAATCAGCCTTTAAAAAAAAAAAAAGTAACAAACCCAAAATCTACAAGTATCATTTCATACTGAATCAATGATAGATTTTTTCTTTTTTTTTTTTCTTTTTAAAAAGGGAAAGAAAGGGGTGGGGAAAGGGGAAAAACTGAACCAAACCAGAAAAAATGAACTCGGAGAAATAGAAAGAGAGAAGGTGCCATTGTCCCTTCTGAAGTTTTCCAAAGGCAGAGAGGAGCGAGGAAGAGCACAACGCACAGACCCAGATGTCCGACTGAAATCCCCATCAATTTCTTCTCGGTAATTTCTCCCTCGTGTTTACCCAGCGAGGGGCAGGAAGGACTTCCAAAATTAAATTAAAAAAAGGCATTAAAATGAAAAAAATTATTTCATTTTTAAAAGATTAAAAAAAAAAAAAAAAGGAGATATGATAGAACAACCCTCCCCAAAATCCTGGAGGGGCATGAGGCAGGGAAAAAATCGGGTTTGATTTAAAAGGTGGGGGGGAAAAAAAAAAAAAAAGAAAAGCCAAACCAAACCAGACTTTTCTCTCTGAACACGTCATCGAGCAGGACTCTCCAGAGAGTGTGACGGTTAACTGGTGACGTAGTGTTTGGCCGAGGGCTGCCCGTAGACCCTATAGAAATCCTGCCGCCCGTGCTGCTGGGATGCGTCAATCCATTCCCTCACGGCAAGTCCCGGGAGCGACTGGGGCACGGCGGGGGCGGGCGGCAGCGGGTGGGAGTACTCCTGCGACGACACTGTCCAGGGGAAGTGCCCCGAGCGCGGGTAGGGCTGGTGCCCGCTGTGGTTGGACACCGAGGAACAGTAACAGTTATCCACGGAGCAGACGAGGATTTTGCGCCCGCCGTACTGGGAGAGCACGGACTGCTGAGATGACGTGGTGTTGGGGTAGTGAGATGGGTTGAAGACGGAGCCCGAGTGCACTGGCTGCGGGCCGCTAGGAAGTCCAACTATGTGCTGCGTGGAGCTACAAGGCACCATGGCTTGTGCGGACTGCCCCTCGCCGGCCGAAGCGCCCTGGCTCATGTACTGGCTCGCCACAGTCCCGGACGATGGCTCGAGGAAGCTGCCCTCGGGAAAGGCGGTGGAGTGCTTGCGCTTCTCCGCGCCGGAGTTGCTGACGGTGCAGGGGTACATGGGGATGCTCTGCAGGAAGGGGACGGGGGTGCTCAGAGGACCTGTGGAGGGGAACAGGAGAGGGGATTGGATTAAGCACAGCGTGGCACAGCTCCAGGGTGCTCTGGCTGCTGATCCAAAGCTGCAGTGGAGCCCCGAGACCCACGTTCCAGCCCCATGTGTGCAGTGGCAAACCACGCACACAGCCCTGTGCAGGTGGACTTGCAGATTCAGTTCTGGGCCCTTGGCAGTGGGCTTGGAGCAGCCCCGGGCACTGCTCTGCAAACAGCTCATGAACACAGTCCCTAACAGGAGCAGAGTGGGACAGCCTGGGGGATAAACACCAATCCCCCAAGGAGAGGACTGTGAAGGCTCCACAGGACGTGGTTTGCTCCCAGGCATTGGCTGGGGGCTGTGGGACCATGCCAGCCCCTGGCTGTCCCTGCCCACATGCTGACCCCCATCTTTCCACTGACTTTTCCTGGCAATGGCCAAACCCCCAAAAGCTCTGTATTTCAGGGTTTTGTGTAACCCAACAAAACACAGCTATTTCACAAGACAAGGAAAATGCCCTCGGCAGAGTCAGGAACTGGCTTGGTGACTCTCCCTGCTGACTGCAGAGGGGCTCCAAGGGGTCCCTGCCCCAAAGAGCTCTCCCCACCATTTTGTACTGGGATCTGCAGGGCAGCCAGCTACGGATACAGGAGGTAGTGAGGTCCCATGCCCCTGCACCCCTCAGGTTTCACCCACCTTCCAGCAACTTCCTCAGCTGCTTCTCCTTCTTGGCAATCTCGTTCAGGAAAAGCTTGGAGTTGAGGTGGCCGATTTTGGGTGGGGGCAGGCTGCCACCTGTACAGTTCTGAGTCCTGTTGGGGATGGCAGGCAGAGAGATGTGAGTTACAAGGTGAACTCAGGAGAGGGACAGCTCCTCCCCTCACGCCCTCCTGGAGCCAAACGCCCTCCCCAGGGTAGAAGACAGAAGTGAGCTGGCTGTCTCTGGCAGACAGGACCTTCCCTGTCCAGTTTTGCTTGAATATCCCCTGCCAGGGCACACCTCCTGCAGTCCATGTCCCCACTGCATGGCCATCCCAGCTCATCTCTGCTCTGCTAGTGCTGCCTTTAACTCCCTGCCCTGCCTCTGCCCAGTGGAGCTGGACGAAGCCCTGCATCCCAACCCCGCTGGTCCCATCCTCTGCTCTTCCACAAGCACAACACTGAGATTCCCCTAGTCCACGGGGAGGACCTGATTCAATGGCTGCACGAGGGGATTTTTTCATCCTCACAGAGAGAGAGAGGGAAGCTGAGCATGGCACGTGCCTCTCCCAAACCCTGTAGCATCCCTGGCCCTGGTCTTCCTCTGGATATTGTGCTGCTGCCACCCCTGTGGACATGAACACACCCTTTTCCCCAAACACGTCTGTCCCGCTGCGCTTACCTGTCCATTAAGATTTTCACAGACTTGGTGTTCTAGAAGTGGAAGGAGAAGCTCTGGTCAGTAAGGCCAATCCCTGCCATGCTGGCCATGCCCCCTTTCAGTGTCAGCTTCCATGGCCCCCCAGGAGGGGACAGTCTGACCATGGGCACTGAGCCCCCTTTCCCCTGCATGGGCTGCTCCAGCCCCATCTCCAGCTGTGGCAACTCCTCATTTGAGGCCAGCACTGAGCCTGCCTCACTTCTCCTTGACTTCTTCCACTGCTGAGCACTCTGGAGACATCAGCCAGCCCTGCCAATGTCGCCATCCTGCTCCCCACCACACCCCACACATACCAAATTCTTCCCACACAACCAAACCTCTCCACAGCCCCCGTCCCACCCTGGCATGGGCAGCTTGTCTTACCTTCATGAAGTTGATGTCCTCAGTTTTGTCAAACATGACCTGGACAGAGCTGAGCAACTTCTTGGCCTCCTGCATGCGCTCATTGAGGTGCAGAACCTGGGCCGCGTTCTCGTTGCAGAACTTGGCCTGGGCCTTGTCCAGGATCTCCATGGTCTTCCGCAAGTCCTCATCCAAGATCTGGTGCATCTTCTCGTACTGCAGGCGCACCTCATCCTTCAGCTGGTTCACCTTCTCCTGGGGAGAGGAGGAGGGTCAGTGCTCTGTGCTCTTTCACCTCTTCCCGGTTGTTCCAGGACACCTGGGTCCTTTCTTAGCAGTGGAGAGTGCAACCTGAAAGCTGCACCCCAGCTCTGCTCTCCTGCAACACCCAGACAGCTCAAACCCTGCTGTCAACTCCCACATGGGAGGACTTCTATGTGCCAGAAACACAACAGGGATACTCTGAAGGTTTGATTGGTTCAGCAGATTCCTGGACATACTCCCTGGGGTCTGTGTGGGGATCAGCTCCAGAGACCCAATGCCAAGGAACAACCTGCTACACCACCAATGGAAGTGTGCTCCCCTGAAAAATCCCACCCATCCCTATCTGCATACTCTTTCCCACCTTCATCCTCATCCCCAGCCCCATCCCAGGCTGGAGACACTTCATGTTCCAGGGCCTTTCCCTTCATGCTCTGGGAGGCCGAGGGGCTTTAAGGACCACAGGCACTCCCTTCCTGAGAAAGGCTGTGCTGAGCTGAGGCAGGATGTGCCATCTGATATTTAAGGGCAACCTTGTTCCTCACCTCCCAACTCAACCCAGGGCCCATGAGGCTGCAGAGCAGCTCCAAACACTTTTTTTATTCTCCCCAAATGACAACTGATGACACTGAAATGGAGGCTGGAAGTCTGTCCAGTTACTCCTCCCCTGCATGCCTGCCTTCCTCCCTGCCCACCTGGCCCCTGTGTCCCACGAGCTTGTCCCCATTGTGCCACAGGGTGACAGTTCCTGGGACTGGCCGTGGCAGGGTGAGGCACTGGTTACCTCGACCAGCCGCTTGTCTGATTCCAGCTTGTAGAGCTGCTCCTCGATGTCCTGCTCCCGCTCCTCCAGGCGGTCCTGCTGCTTCATCAGCATCTTCTGCAGAGATGAGAGAAAGCAGCATCGTCAGAGCCCAGCGGCCGCATGTGCCAGTGAACATCACTGCTGCCCACACTGGCTCTGCCCACATGGTTCAGGAGGGATGGTGCTTTTTCCCAGCAGGATGCCACTGCCAGGCTGAAAGCCCCCGTGTAGCTTGTGGAGCAGGGAACTTGGTTATTTCAATGGCAGGAATGGCAGAGGGGCTGCCTGTGCCGGGCTATGTTATCAGCTGGGCTGTGTCCCCTGGATGGGGGCAGCACCTCAGGTAACTTTCTGCAGCCTGGTCAGTGGGGTTAGGTCAGGGCCAAGCCCTGGGGACTGTGGGGGGGAGCCAGAGAGGCTCATCCCCCACTAAGGCAGTACCATTTGAGGCCCATCACCCATCGCCAGCAGGCTCCTGTGAGACATCACCACCTCCCTCGCGCTCCCGTACGCCACGCCAAATCCTTTCTCCCTTCCCCGCCTCCTTGACAAGCCCCAGAGCCAGCGTCAGTGTAATCTGGAGGGACAGAGTGAGGTGGAAAGGAGCCTCCCCCCACCACACTGCCAGCCCCCAGCCCCACTCCTTGGGGCTGGGCCTGGGCCATCCACCGAATAACTGGGACAAAACCTTATCCCCAGCTATCAGCGCGAGCGCCTCGCTCCTGCACGATTCCCAGCCTGGAGAAACCCACTGCCCATGAGAGAAGGGCTCCATCCCTGTGAGCAGGAGCAGAGCTTCCCAAAACACCCTCAAAATCGACTCCAAATATTCACCCTTCATGTTTACTGGGCGGAAAAGCCAGGACACCAATGGGGCGAGGAGAAGGGCTTCACCCGGCACGGAGATGCGGCGTTCGAGACTCAACGATGGGGGCGAGATGGAAAGAAACCGGCAGCAAGAATGAATTTCGAGGGGATTATTGCTATTATAAACCGCCACTCGGGAATTTATAATCAAGTAATTAATTCCTGGACGAGGCGGGAGGGGGAGGGTGGCAGAGGCGCTGCCGGGATTAATTGCATTGCAGGGAAAGGCTGTCACCTCCGACTCAATTCAGGAGCAGGAATGCGAAGCCTCCTCCCTCCTGTTGTTTTTCTTAAGGTCTCAGGCACCTCCAGCCTTACTGTCACTGGGCTCCTACCACTAATAATAACGAGGAGCTAAAAAAAACCAGCTTCCCACTCACAGCACACTGCACATGCATGCCCAGGATGCACGCCTGTGCACCCACCCAGGCCCATGCAGACAGACACACAGCACATCCACTGAAACAGGGCTGAGGGGCAGTCACAGCAACGCAGACCCCCAACCCACGGGGGGACATTTGCTGCGCATGTGTACAGAAACACAGAGGCCTGCAGCATCCATGGGCATCACTGGAAGTATCCACACCAAGAAAGATTTGAGGCATACATTAAAAATCTCATTTTTTTCATTGTAAAACAATTGTTTTTTGTGCTGCTGCAGCAGCAGGAGGCTGCAGTCCACTCCCAGACTTAACACGGTGGGAACTGAGCTCTGGAGAGTGAGTGCAACACGATTTGCTTGAACCTTGGAGAACCAAGGGTGCAGGCAGGAACTGTATCCTAGGTCCTGTGCCAGCAGCCAGGCCTGAGTGCGGAGCTGCTGGGGGTTTCTCTAGGGGCTCAGACAGGGTTTTGGGTCAAGCACCAGGCAGAACTGTGGAGCAGGTGGACAACTGTTGTATTGCGCTAAACAGAAAACAGCCCCGTGTAGGTGGGTTGAGAAGTGGCAGGCAACAAGCCTGCTCCTGGGCTCCAAGGAAAGAGATTCCTTCCAACATCCCTGCTTGCAGGAGGCCAGTTGAATGTGGGAGTTGGGCAGGTCGTGCAGTGCAGGCTGAGCTGCTCACGCCCCACGCTGGGCAGCCAAAGGACACAGTGAGCTTTGCACCGAGCTCTTCCCTACACCTCCCTCCCTGCCACAGACTCGCCATCTCCACCACAGACAGCCAGACCTATCCCACACCAGCCCACCAGGAGGACAGCCAAGTCTAGCCAGGCCCCCAGGAGCAGCCCCATCCTCAGCCTGACTTCCCTGTCTGCCAGCTGGGACAGGAGTAGGTAAAAAACATAGGAACATAGGACAGGATCCCTCGCTGGGCACAGAGGCCAAATCCCCATCCCACTCTGTCATACCCATCAGGTATCTGATATATCCAAGGCAGCCACTGCCCTTCCCCCTGATGTTGCTGGGATGCTCTAGCAGGGGAAAGCAGGGTTTCCTATCACTGCCAGATGCCAGGCAGGCAGAGGCCACCCTGGCAGCCCCACTGGTCTGAGGGACCCCTGAGGGAGGCACTGAACAGCCCCGGACATGCACGTACCATCGCCCTGCAGCTGCCGTGGCAGAGCTGCCAACCTTTGTGTTTTGTAACAAACCTCAGACTGCTCCACTCCAGGAATCATGCAATTATGTGAAATCACAAATATACATATAAACATATGTAAAAATAACTTTATACATATATAAGTTAATTTAATATCACCTCACAGCTGGAAAAAGTGACCAAAATTCAACTAAAGCCATAGAAATCACACAGAATAGAGGACATGCAGCGCTTTCTTTAAACCTCATATTTAAGCCACTCTTTTTTTAGGGTGATTTAAAAACTGTACGTGCCTGGGATTGCAGTGGAATGGGAGGGCTTTTCACCCACGGCAACAAAACCTTAACAAGACACAAGGGTATGAACTACCCCTTCTGGCACCGAGGGGCAAAATCTCATTGTCTATGCAGCACAGGCTGAATTCCTTAGGTATTTTGAAAAGGAAAATATATCCCTTCCCCTTCCATCCCCTCCCAAATCTGGCATTTCTGAAGTCATGAACTCCTCCTCCTCCAGGATCAGAATTTCTCGGGGTAATTTCTCATATTTCATGCATGACCTTGATGCTGGGAGAACCGAGGCTCCCTCTGTCCAGGCACCCTTCCCAGGCTGTGCGCAACTCTGATCCCAGTTTGTCTTTTCCGAGACACGTCGCCAGTTTGCAAAACGCATACTAAAAATGCTTTTTATTCCAGCACCAGCTGAGAGTGAATTCATCTCATTAGTTAATAAATTAATCGGTGGCTGGGGTAAGTGGCTGGTCCACCATGACCCTGTAGGCCCCAGTGAGACTGGGCTAGTTCATGGACACCAGCTTATTCTGCAGGAGATGAACATAATCTCCCCCCTCCTCATGGAGAAAAATGAAGTGTGGGTACAAAAGGGAGCTCCCTTACAGGGAGCTTGCAAACACACCGTGGGCATCAACTCTGCAAGGGAGCTGGACCACCAAAGGTGGAAGGACAAAGGAGGAGACACTATCATCCACTTCCCTTCAGGAGAGAGGGTGCACTCTCCTGTGCAGGCAGAGGAGAGTGAATCCTGAGCAGCAATTGTGCCAAGTCAGATGGGTTTGGGGTACCAAGGTCATGCACTGGGACTGAAACACTGCTTGGAGGGACATCTCTGCAGGAAGCAAAGCAAACGCTGCAAGGTCTCATTGCAGGGAGGATGCACACAGCTGGTCCCCATGGGACTGTGCTGGGGGAAGGCTTGCTGACCATCGCTATCCACGGCACTTGCTGGGAGGAAACCACCACCAGGGAAACCACACCCTGCCTGCACCTTACTGCATCCCCTGCTCAGAGGGAGTGCAGTAAGGTGCAGACTATGCACTGACCCCAGCTCCCATTGGCTGCTCCAGCATGGGACACATCCACCCTGCCAGGCAGGGCATAGGGATATGTCTGCTGGGGGACAGGGCAGTCCCAACAAAGAACTACTGCAACATTAAATGCCTGCAGCCACAAGACAGGAAGATAGTAATAAAGAATTTAGCAGCTCTGATGATACAGGGCACCTATGCTTCTCATCCGAGACCCACTGCATGGCTGCAGCACCACAAGGCTCAGATGTGTTACACACATGGGTCCAGCTCAACCAGCTGGGAAAACCTCCACTGTAAATGAGGGCACTGGGGTGTAGGAAGGAGCTCACACCCACCCAAGACGTCCCAGGCAGGGAGCAGTCTGTGGGCACAATATTTCCCCTGACTTGTCTTAGGCTGGTCTCAACACTGCCTTCTTCCAAAGGGCAGAGCTAAGCCCACAGGAACAGTGGATTATGGCCCTGCCCTGCCTGAGGCTCAGCACTCCCCTCATCCCCTCTTTGCAGCCCCCAGAAGCCCACTGCTCTGGGGCCAGCAGCAGGGCAGCAAAATCCCACAACATGCCCCAAGGTTTTGTGTTCCCTGAGGCTGGTCAGGGCCCTTGTGTGCCTCCCAAGGAGAGCTGGCAGGGGAGAGCCTCTGGCACCCCTTCCCTGGGGGCTGGAGTGCTCACCAGCCCCTGCCCAATTCCTAGCAGGATCAGGAAGGAGCCTGGCAGCTTCACCAGAGGCAGAGCGGTGCCCCATGACCTGCTGAGCTGCTGTGGTTTTAAACAAGAGCTGGAGCAGTGAAAAGCCTTACTGTGTTCACAGGGCAAATGGAGCCCATGCAGCTTCTCTTGATGCCTAATAGGCACTGTGCATCCCTCAGGGCCATTCACCTTGCAAGAGCAACCGAGTGCCCACATCCTGACCTGCGGGATGCTTGCAGGATGCTAATCCCCAATAAACTCTGCTGAAACTGTCTGTGGGTTTGGAGGGTACTACAGCAGGGCAGGTGGACAAACCACAGGAGTGCACAGCCCTCATTCCCGAAGGAAAGTGGGGGAGCAGAGCCACCCTGCCCCACTGAGCACCTCTAACCACAGCTGGACAGCTGACCCAGGACAGGCACACTCACTTCTCTGCCTCGCTCCTTCCTCCTCCTCTGCACCCAGGCCTTCCCCTCGCCGCCAAATCCCAGCCACTGAGTGAATAAGGACATTGTTTGCAGTCACCGGAAAGCGAGAACGGAGGGAGCAGCTTGGAGCATGAGGGGCAGGAAGGGTGAGGAGGAGGAGGAGGAGGAGGAAGGTGGAACCGGAGCGAGGAAGCTGCAAAGGGCAGATGCCTGCAGCG